CCTTATCTATTTGTTCTAGTAATGGAAATTCTCAGTACAATGTTAAGGAAACTGAAAACTTGGGTTGGTTAAGGGGTCTAAAGATAGGCAGAAATGATCAGAAAGGTATGATGCTTAATCATATCTTTTATGCAGATGATTCTCTTTTATTCTATGAGGCTGATAGAGATCAAATTTTGTATTTGAGAGGGGTCCTTTTGTGCTTTGAGGCAGTTACTGGCCTAAGAGTATCATTTTTAGTATTAATGGTGACGACTGTGTTGAAGAGGTTGCAGACATTCTGGGCTGTGAAGTAGATAAATTTCCCACTATTTATTTGGGGCTTCTATTAGGGGTGAAGAGAAAGGACAAATCATCTGGCAAGTGGTTTGGGCTTGGGACTTCCATGTTGGAGGTTTCAAGTTAGAAACCCTTTGCTAGCGAAAGCAAGGGGGGTTTGCCTTTTGGGTCGAGCTCGTCTCACCGGGCTAGCCTAGTGGGGGTTACCTCTCCTGTATGGTTTGCGAGCTATTGAATAGGAGCGGAGCGGCTGCGGGTTTCCCTTGCATCAAAAAGGTATAAAATGAAGTTTGACACCTTGGAAAAGCATTACTTATCTCTTGCTGGAGGCTTATCTTAATCAACAGTGTCTTGGATAGGATACCAACATATACAATGTCCCTATTTAATGCATGTAGCAGTTGTAAATAAATTGGATTCCATTAGAAGACAGTTTCTATAAGATGGGAATACAAACAAAAGGAGAACTCATTTGGTAAAGTGGCCGGTGGTTACTGGAGATAATATATCAGGGGGGTTTGGGAGTGAGGAATCTGAAGATGCAGAATAGAAGCCTACTTTTTAAATGGCTATGAAGATAATAGTATTTGGGGGGTGGGGGGGTGGTAGGGTAAGGGAGGAAATTTGGCAAAAATGTTAAATGAAATAATTTGGGGGAATCTAGAGGAAAGCAAGTGAAGAATGGGATGAGTTCTTACAACATACAAGGCTGGAGGTTGGCAATGATGCTAGAATTAAATTCTGGATAGATTCTTGGAGTGGAGATGAAAATTTTAAGAGCACATTCCCCGATTTGCTTTGAATAGAGAGGGTCACATAATATATTTCTATCCAAACTCAGGCTGACTTATTACTTAAAGGAGAAACTTGAATGATTGGGAATTGGAATGTTTCAGTCAACTGATAGAACAACCTAACTGAAACTTAATTGATCGATTCAAAGCAGATATTTTAGTTTGGGTCATTAGAAGGGATATATTATTTTCAGTCAATAGTTATAAACTGTTTTTACAGATGATTTGTCAGGGGATTCCTAATTGACCCTGGAAGATGATCTGGTGAACCAATGCACCTATGAAAGTAGCCTGCTTTGGCCCAGAATAACCTACAAATTAAGGAGAGGCTGCCACATGTGCATCAGATGTTTCTTTTTTAAACAAGGAGCAGAAAACAGTTGAACATTTATTCCTACATTATAATTTCTCAAGACAATGCTGGGCACTTTTTTCTGAATATTATTGGGTGTGTCTGGTAATACCATGGAAGATCAACAGTCTGTTGGATGTTTGGCAAACTCATAAAAGAAGTTTGAACAGATATGTAGGACTATTCACATTTGCATATTATGGATGTTTGGCTGGAAAGGAAGACATGCTTTGAGGAGAAGAGACTGTAGATTGCTAGAGTAAAAAACAAATGTATCAAGAACTTTTTTTTTTGGTGTTAAAGAAGTACTCTAGATAGTATGGACCAGTATTTGGATTGTTACGGGGAAAATGTAGTATGACTGTGGAGATGCTCTAGCTTTGTCTTGTACTTGGTCCTGTACCATCTTGGTACCATAAAACTTCTACCTATCCAAAAAAAGTCAATATTAAGGGTGTGTTTGGTACATTTTCCAATTTTTTTATGTTTGGTTGGCTTAAATGTTCTGGAAAATATTTTCCAAATCAACTTATTTTCCTCAAATTTAAGGAAAATGACTTCCCTTCAAAAATTAAGGAAAACATTTTCCAAAATTTTCCTCCAACCTCAAATTACAATTATTTTTCTTACCCTACCCCGTACCCCGATCCTCCCCATTAAAAAAAAACAATTTAAAAATTTCTTGTTTTTAAAAAAATCATTTTATTTTATCCCTACTCACCGCCCCCTACCCCCAAACCAGCCCCTCCCCCAACCAAAAACTTCAAGTTCGGGTGTTAGGTCCTGGGTGGGATATCCAGTGTTAATTCAAATGTCGAATCTTGTGAAATTCGAATGTCGAATCTTGTGTCGAAAGTCGGGGTCAGGTCCTTGGTCAGATCTCAGGGTCGAATTTCAGATCTGTCATCGGGGTTGTGTTCTAGTTTGCATGTCAGACCCATGTCCTAGATCGATTATCGAGATTGATTTCTGGGTCAAAAATTACTTTCTACCCTCTAGTAACAAAAAAGATATTTTCTTAAAAATGTTTTTTATTCACAAACCAAACACTAAAAAATATTTTCTAATCACCAACCAAACATGAGAAAATAAGTCATAAATCCATATGTTTTTCAAGAAAACATTTTCCTTCATACCAAACACACCCTAAATGATAAACTGAAAAGTGTCAAAAATGCCCTTTAACTATTTGAAATTGAACAAAAATGCCTTCAGTTCATAGTTTGGTCTAAAAGCGCCCCTGCCATCAATAGTTTGGTCCAAAAATGTCCTTTTCCTAACAAATATATGTTTCATTTTCTTTTTAAAATCTCTTCATAATAAAAACATTACTTTTAAAGAGCACTATTCTTATTTTTTTCTTTTAAAATCACTTTTACTAATAAATATGTAGGAAGTAATAATATTTTCCTCTTAATTTCATTTATCAATTAAAATAAAATAACTATGTACTTTTTTAACTGATAATATATGTCATCTATATAAGATCATATTACCGCATCATAAATGTTCAATTAGACAACAATTAAAAAATCCTAATAAAATAGGAAATATTTTTATTTCTTAAACTTTTCCGAGTTAAAGTAGGATAAGCATTTGCCAATAAACAAAATATTATTAGTAAAAGAATGTGCTTAAAAAGACGAGAAATAGTATATTTATTTAGAAAAAGGGTACTTTGACCCATTAAGTAACTATAAATGCAGTTTTGGACCAAACCAATGATAACAAAAGTAGTTTTAGACCAAACTATTAGTGAGGGCATTTTTGTTCAATTTTACATAGTTTAAGGGCATTTGTCTACCCATTTTGAATAATAAACGATACTGGCTGAATAAGACCTCCACAGACTAGTGGCGGCTCATTTAAGCTCTAAGCAGGCCTAGTATTATATGGACTAAAACTCAGAGATCCACTACTTGACCATTCTTTCTGAGTCTTGCACAAAATAACAAGAGCACTCTTATCTTACCTCTAGGACATGACTATAGAAAAATTGTAGTACTGTACTATCAACAAAGACATTGTAGGTATAGAAATCAGCATAGTTATGCAAATATAATAATATCATGAACATAATCACATAGAATAATCTTGCTATTACTAGTCTGCTAAAATATTAAAGCTATTATATTGTTTTTGGGCATAGGTTGCCTATCTGACCTGCCTGGCATGGTGCATCAATCACATATCTTACCCATCATCGATGCGTTGGTACCTATTTGACCTGTCTACCCCCCTGACATGGTGCATCAACCACATGTCTTACTCAGTATATCTCAAACTTCTAACTGACCTTCTAACATCATCGTGCCCAGGCTATGTCTGCTAGTAGTGGTGTGATAATGCATCCTGATAAGCTAAGCAGGTATCACAAAAATAAAACAATTAACTGTTGAAGATATCAATATCACATAGATGCATATGTTGGACCTCACGGTCTCTACTTTATACTTTTAAAAAAAAACTGGCTAACCTAGTTTATGATCACCCCCTACACACTCTAGATAGTTTTAATTGCATGTAAATGACACATAAGTCACTCTTTTATTGAAAAGTAAGGAAACCAAGAGCTAAAGTGTAAGTCATTCTTTTATTGAAAGCAAGCAAACTAATAGTTAAAGTCTCACTTGTCTTGAAAATGGCGAACTTCCCTTCACTTGAATGTCCAAAGTTTTCTCAAATGATCTCAGTTGTCCTCAATCTATTCAAAATCATGAACAACATGTCCAAATTTTCCTACGGGAACTAATCCCATAATTTTTAACACCCGGGGTAAAAGTCAACCATTGGTCTATTCAAAATCACCCCTCGGATTGGTGGTTCAAAATCCAAAATCCATTAGCTATGGAATCCAATTTTATAATCAAAAATCCTATTTTGATATCAATTGATAGGCCAAATCATCAATTTTACATTCCTAGGTCTAGGTCTCAAATACCTAATTTTAGCCTCTCAGAATTCATGATTTTGCAGTTCAAATCACATATAGATCAAGTATATCATTGGGTTTAACGTAGGGAGGTCATGCCTTGAATCTTAGCTCAAAACTCCGTCAATTCAAATCCCATGCACGAGCTCCAAATCCCCAAACTAGTGTAAAAATGGCTATTGAAATGGTGTTGCCCGGTCACGAAGAAAGCATCTGCACTAGAGAAATTTGCAATTCCAACTGTCCCCAAGTGATGCCAAAGCACCCCCTAGCCCCTCGGGTCCCAACCCAAACATACCAACAAGTGTAAAAACATCAGAACCTAAGGAAGTCCTAAATCATACAATGATACGTAAATACTCAAACAGATGGTCCTAAAATGTACTCAAACCTTGTATGCTTTACTGCTTGCTTTGGAATGAAGCAGTCCCTCTGCCTCCACAAGAAAAAAACGATGGGCACACGAATAAAGTATTAAAAGGGAACTTGAAAGATGCAAAAATTAGTTCAAGATGGCATCTGTGACCATTTCCAGTCCAAACTATCTATAAAAAAGGTGCTGTTTATGTTGAGAAATTTGTACTCTGAAATCTTCGGAGTTATTAGTGAACTTATTATACCACTTTTCCTTTCTTATTTGCAGTGCCTCCTTGGTTAACTAGAATTACAGAGAGAATAAATGAGAAATCGGGGTTATTTCCATCATCAATTAATCATGTGCTTATCAATGAATACCTTCCTAACCAAGGAATAATGGTTTGTTCTGAACACAAGCAAGCTGTGTTGCTCATTTCATTTGCTGCTTATTCTTCTTTCTTCCTTTTCCCCCATTTTCTACTTTTATCTCAAATATGTGTTCGCAAATTTATCTCTTTAGTTTTGTAACTCCTAATTCCTCACAAAGCTTTGAACACTTTGACATGCAGCTGTCTTTTCTTATATATAAAGTTACATGTTTAATCATGTTAGTTCTGGTTTCATAACTAGGAGGTCTGTATTGAAACCTATGTTGCTCAGACTCTTCAAAAATGTGGACGGGTGCATGTTGGATCTTCCTAAAATACTGTATTTTTGAAGGATCCGACACATGTGCGGCAACATTTTTGGAAAGTCCCGAGCAACTTAGATTGAAACTGCTAGATTTTGGTTATAGCCTTATAAACAGAATAATAGCTTCTAAATAGTGAATCAGGATTGATTTCCTTGACTTTGGTCAACAATACATTAATTTTGCTGACAAAGAACGCCTCCACTGCAGCCGCATCAAGACGGACCAGCTTATTATCCAGTAGTGGCAATTCTTTCTCTTGGATCTCCTGTAGTTATTGATTTCACTCCACATCCTAATTTGAGCTGCCCTGTTGGTGCACATGGAAACAGTGCTGAGGACAAAATTTCTGACCAGGAGGCTGCTGTGATGAATTCTTGTGAATGGCTAGATAACTTCCATCCCTTTTCTATCATATTAATGCCTCGCAGTTTGTTGATATTCAAAGATATGGTGTACTCAGGTAAAACTTTCTGTTAGGGGTGGTTTCAACAGAACCACTCAATTAATATCAGAGTACCTTGAATATAGTGTCAATATTGTCCTTGAAATTTTAACTTCCATTTCTAGTGAAATAAAGGGCCCCCCTCTTCCCCCCCTTCCCTCCGATCTTCTGATTGTTTGATTTGCCAAACCTCCAAAGTGGTCCAAATGCAACATAACTTGTCAATAAACTCCCACATCTTTATTTTCAAAATCCATGATTCACCTCTATTAATCTCTGTTGGCATTTGTAAAGATGTCTCAATTAGTTACACATATTTGTTACTAAGTTAGTATTTTTGATGTTTCTTGTTGTTCCAGACTACTTGCATGGCATAAAAGATTCTGAGGTGCACGGATGTAACGGGGTAAGATGAAAAGTATTCCCGAGTGTGTAGTGGAGTTATGCTTGATAACACTTTCTGTAAAATGAGTACGTAGAGTCTTTGTCTAATTGTATGCACTACCTTTCCAGGCTGTAAATGTAACAAATGTTCAGAATCATGGAGTAGTTCAGCACTCGTCAGGTTCAGTGAAAGGACTTGATAGTGATGACACTGTCATTTGCAGGGCTAATAGCAGAGTTTCTTTGACCTGTCGAGTAGTAACAAAGGTTTATAAAAGTATTTTTAAGTTCTAGTTTCATACATAAAAGAAACAAGTCAATAGATGCAAAACAGGGTGAGTAGAGAATTGAGTCCAGGAGACTTATACCCACCCCTGCAGTTTTGTAATATTTGTATGATTGATGTACGACAGCTATTGTACTGGAAAAACTCCATGATTTAACAATTTAAACGTAGCATAGCTAGAGTAATCTATTCCTTTTCTTAATCTGTGCATAGTTATAACCATGTATTTGTTCTCGGAGATCCTTTCTTGTTTCATTTTCCTTCAAGAACTTTTTGTTGGACTTGCTGTCTAACCTTGTGCAGGGAAACTTTAGGTTTTATTACCTTCAGAACTATGGAGAACTTGATGGTATTTGTACCTTTATGAACAGTAGCCAGACAAACACTTCTTTAATAGCCAGAAGTAAAATTTGTTGTTTTAGTTATCCGCCAACAAACACACATGCCCAGCAACCCAGGTTGAGTGAGGTAACACTTAACCCGATAACCTTTTTCAAGGAAAAGCAGTTTTTTTTTTTTTTTCTGTTTTGCTGTTATTAATGTACTTGTAATGTGACACGAGGGAGTTGCTGTAATGGTAAGCATCCCTTACTTTCCAACCTTAAAGGTTGTTCGTTCAAGCCACCAAGGGAGGAAAGAAGGTGGGGGAGCTCCTGGGGAGAGGGGTAAAAAAAGTACTTGTAATATAACTGCGTGGAAAAATTCCAAAAGTTAGTCGACAATATTTTGTTCACGATCTGAATTGTAGTTTGCATACTAGTCTTGACCTATTACTTGCAGTACCATCTGCACTTAAAATTTCGTAAGGCGTAGGGAGTAGGGAGTAGGGACAGGCTTCTATTTTATGAAGAGGTAAACTCGGTTAGAATATTTTGTCGGTGTTGAATGCTAATATTTGTTAAAGCGTGAGAGTTGGAAGTTGTGGCAGGAATGGTTAGCACGTTTTAAGTCTGTGTTGGGAAAATCTGTCATCACCCAAATTCCTTAGGCACCTAACGAGTTATCACGCACTTTGTTGAACTATTCTCTCAAGTTACTCTTTCTAACACAACTTCCACTACACCATCATAGCAAAGACAATATGGAAAAGTGTTAATTTTTTTAAAAATAATATGAAATTGAACAGATATATCTTCCGTTAATAGTTTGGTCAAACAATACCTCTGCCTTTAATATTTTGGTCCAAACATGTCAATTGTTTCTTTTGGATCAAAAATATTTTTTTCTAATAAATATGTTGTTTCTCTTGTTTAAGTTAAACACATCCCTTTTAAAAAAAATATTGTAACCCATCATTTTTCTCTCTCTCTATATATATAATACAATCTTAGAAACATGAACTTCCAAATTTGAATGTTGAATTACTATAATACCCCCAATTAAAAATACTCAATTTTATTTATTTATTTATTTAATTAATTATATTGTATTAAAAAGGTAGTGACTTTTTTGACGCGTTGTGATATTTTTGATAAGTTGTGACTTTTTCGAAGGGTTGTGACTTTTCTGATGAGTTGTAACTTTTTCAAAAGTGTAACGACCCGGAAAATGATAGAGTGAAACTAGAGCCTCACATGTGAGTTTGGAGTCGAGAACTTAATGAAATGATTATATTTGAATTTGACCCAAAAAGTTCTTAAAAATGTGCTTCGGAAGTTACCGGAAACTTGTTTAGCTGTATAAAAAAAGATCCGTTTCGTTTTTCGAAAATCCGACTTCATATTCTTGTTTAGGGGGTCAAATTGAGTGGGAAATGGGTCTAACCCAAATTTTAGAGCAACCGTATCAAAATCCGAAATTTCCAAGTGAAGCCTTTTTCGAGGGTCTACTTTGAAGGGTCATATCTCCTAGCACACAAATTATTTTGGTGGCCATAATATATCCATGGAAAGCCCTTTGAGTTAGCTACCTAACGCACTTCGTTTCACCTCATTCGGAGTTCGGACGAAGAAGTTATGCCCATTTCCGTAAAATCTGTCCGACAGAAAAAGACAATTTCCAGTAGCTAATTTTACTGTTCATTACTGTTCACCCGCCTAAAATTTTT